GGTGGGGGAGGGGCGAGGACGGCGGAGGAACGACAGGCTTACAGTGTGACCCTGCCTTGCAAAATGCACCCAGGTTTTTAGCACAGTATGCACCTGTTCCAGAAGTGGGGACGGTTTCCTGTGGAAACCGTTGCAGGGACTGAGTTCTGGGAGTGGCCCAGGAGCAGCCTGTGTCGGTGGTGGGATGGATTCAGAGGGAAATCGCAAATTCCATGACAAGAGGGCCTGGGAGATGCTGGGAGGACTCAGGTGGAACTGGGCCTGGCTGGGCTCACATGATCCTCTGAGGGGTGGGGTCCAGGTGACTCAGCTAGTTACACTCTCCCATATAAGGCAGGGTGTTAGTACTCTGTAGGTCCTAATTCTGTGCTCAACCCCTTAAATGGGATATTTGGAAGCAACCCCAACTTTCCTACTTGGTGGGTGAGAGAGTCAACCACGAATCTTCAGAATGACACAGTTTTGAAAATTCTGAGAGACAAACACATCAGCAAAGGGCTTTTAGGCCGCATTGGCTGCCAAATGCCTCATTTTATCCAGAGAGAAAAATAAAAATGTTTTAAAAGACCCGCTGGCCACCCTGCCAACCCTTCTGTCCCCAGACACTGGGGTTCCAGATTCCAGTAAGCGTGTATACACCCATTTCCAGTGCTTTGCTAAAGGATGTGAGATTGGCTCATTTGCACAGCTTCCAACTGTAAGTTTCCAAAAGAGTGATGCCTGGCCACAGCAAAATGTAAGCAGATTCAAGTCATTTATAGAGTCCAGAAAGAAATGGGCTTCAAGAGTTGCCTCTGAGGCTAATTTCTGAAATTAAAAAATCAAACAGCTGCATTTGGAGAGGGGATTAGGGGGTGTGTCTGATTTTATATCAGGCTCTCCCTGATGTAAGCGTCAATGTTCTCTACCATGAGAGCTTGTGCGTTTCTCCATTTAATGTTTCTTACACCAGGAGAAAATTTACGTTTGATCCTCAGCTGGTGGGGTTGATAAAGCTTCGGGTGGCCTGGGCTTGATCAAAGAAAATCAAAGTTGCCTGGCATTGCCAAGGGGCTCTTAATCAGGCTGCAGCACAGAACAGCTGGATAAACCTTTAGAGTCCCTAATTTGCATCAGTTTGCACTTTATTGTTTAACATGTTCTTATTCCAAAACCCTTATTCTTTTTTCTCAAATATGCTTTGAGCTCTTGCTAACTACCAGGCACTATGCTGTCTTCATTGGCTCCTCCCAACAGCCTGTTTTATGGATACCACTTGTAAGAACTAGCTTTTTTTTTTTTTTTTTTTTTTTTTTTGCGGTACGCGGGCCTCTCACTGTTGTGGCCTCTCCCGTTACGGAGAACAGGCTCCGGACGCGCAGGCTCAACGGCCATGGCTCACGGGCCCAGCCGCTCCGTGGCATGTGGGATCCTCCCGGACCAGGGCACGAACCCGTGTCCCCTGCATCAGCAGGCGGACTCTCAACCACTGCGCCACCAGGGAAGCCCGAACTAGCATTTTTTGAGCATTTATATGGTGCCAGGCACAATGCTAAATATTTTATGGATGCCAACTCTTACAGTCATCACCATTTTTAACCCCATTTTAGAGACGAGGAAACCCACCTAAACGTGATCCATTACAGGTCCACCATCCCTTTTCTGAATCCCTAGGGCCAGATATGTTGGAATTCAGAATTTTTTAGATGCCGAGTATTTATCATATTATGTAATGCACCCAGTGCAACAGCAGCAAGCACATAAGAAAATACATCAATATTTATGCAAAGAAACATTTAAACAGTCTCACTAAGTGGGATAAAGTTTATAAATAGCCTCATGTCAGTTAGGGCCTGGATGCCAATTGAATTATAAACAGGCTTTTGGTTTTCAGAGCTTGGAGTTGGGTGAGGGTCTGAAAAGATGCTTACATGTTCAGAGTTACCCATTTTCATGTGTCTCAAATCCCTGCCTCATTCCCAAGCTCCTGTGTTCTATCACCATCCACACTTCTCGGGGGGTGAAGACAGTGGCAGAGAGAGATGGCCACAGTCTCAATCCAGATCTGTTTGCTTCCACACCCAGGCCTTTCCTTGCACTCAATGCTAATGCTGTTGACATAGAAATCAAGTGGCTTTTTCCAGCAGCGGGGCCGAGTTGCATGCAGCCCTCTGCATTTCATAACTTTGCTGCGGGCCCCGGGCTGTCTGTGCCAGCTCACGAGGTATTCACAGGGAAGAAGCTTGAGACCGAGGTTTCGCTGTGGCCCAGCAGGCTCATCTTCTCACGGTCTCTGGAACACCACCGATCACAGTTGTATCTGAAAGCTGGAGGTTGAGTTATGACCTTGAGTTCAGCCCTGGCTTTTCCATTTCCAAACAGAACGCACCTTCTAAGCAAGAAGGAATAGAGGGCTTCCCTGTTGGCGCAGTGGTTGAGAGTCCGCCTGCCGATGCAGGGGACACGGGTTCGTGCCCCGGTCCGGGAAGATCCCACATGCCGCCGAGCGGCTGGGCCCGTGAGCCATGGCCGCTGAGCCTGCGCGTCTGGAGCCTGTGCTCCGCAACGGGAGAGGCCACGACAGTGAGAGGCCCGCGTACCACAAAAAAAAAAAAAAAAGAAGGAATAGAGTGTCATGGCTGATCCCATACCTTTTCTTCTTTAACTGGATTTAATAATAAAGGTGATGGAGCATGTGAGATCCAAGCCGGGAATCATCTCAGAACGCTCTTTGAAAAGAATTGGAGAATAACCTGTCCCCTGAAAGGACACATCTCAGTGCCATTCTCATTTTATTTCATGCGCTCACCAGACATTTATTGACAGCCCCGTCTGCTGTCTGTGTGGCACTGGGGATTCAGGGTTGAATAAGAAGACATCCTTCCTGGGACTTGCCTGGCAGTCCAGTGTTTAAGATTCCATGCTTCCAGTGCAGGGGACATGGGTTCCATCCCTGGTCAAGGAACTAAGATCCCACATGCCACGTGGTATGGCCAAAAAAAAAAAAAAAAGAAGAAGACATCCTTTCGGCCCTCAGGAAGCTCAAATGAATGGTTAGGGGAGACAGAGCCGAATGTGGACGTTACCACACGAGCCACCTCCCAAGGTGATGTGTACAGCAACGTAAATAAAGTGATGGGGGAGCTGGAGGAGAGAAAGGGGGCTTCGCTGGTGGTCAGGGTGGAGTGGTAAGTGGCTTCACCAAGGCGATGACATTGGCTCCCACGTGTCCACTCTTGTGTTTTCTCCACCTCCTGGTCCTCTCCTTCTCGCCCCCTCCTCTATCCTACCTCTGAGTGTTGGCATCTTCAAGCTTCAGCCCAGGGCCCTCCTTCCTTTTTTTCTCTCTACATTGTCTCCTTGGTAATCGAATTCATTCCCTTCACGTTAAATACTGTCCTGGGTCCGTGGACAGCTCCTCCAACTGCACAGCCCGCCCACATCTCTCCCATGAACTTCAGGCTCGGAAGTCCACTTGCCTACTCGTCTCCAATCAGGTGCTCACACACTCCTCGAAATACACACATCCAAAAGGCAATTCACGGTCATTATCCTTCAAGCCTGTTCCTCCTCCAACCCATTTGAGGAAATGCTACAACCCACCTGCTTAAGCAGAAACCTTGTTTCTTCCCTCATCCCTGATGACTAAATTACCAGCCAAATCCTATCAGTTCTGTCTCCAAAGTATATTTTGAATGAAGCCACCCTTTGAGGCAGGCCACCTCCTCTTTGTGGCCATTAAAATAGTCTGCCCTTGTCCTTTTATCCGTTCTGCATACCCAGCGCCCAGGTGGGTCTCTCTGAATGAAGTTGGATGAAGTGATTCTTCAGCTTCAGATGCTTTGGTGGGTCCCCACCCACTTTCCATGCCTTTCCAGGCTCTGACTGCCCCTGCCCACCCTCTGACTGCCTCCTACCACCACCCTGCCCTCGTTCCAGCCGCTCAGGTGGGACAACTTCGCTATTTTCTTCTTGTCCAGGTTTTTTGCTTTTGTTTTATTCCAAACACAAGAAGCTTTTTCTCAGTCAGCCTGGTATAGATGCTGTTTCTGAAATATTCTCACCCTTTCTCATGGCACTTTTCATCCTTTTCCATCCTATCTTCATCCCGTGGGAAGCTTTAAAATCATCTCCCCAGTGAGGGCTTCCCCGACTACCCAAATTAAGGTATTTCCCAAACCGTTATTCCACACCCATCACCCCTTCCCCCTTCAATCACAATTTCATGCGGCAATCAAGAAATAGTTATATACCTACTGTGTGTCGATTGTGTGGGTGTGGTGGAGAAAAGCTGGCTGGGAAGTGGTTGAGTCTAGATTTTAAAGGACCAGGGAGTTTTCCCCTCTGAGGATGGGCATATAGGCAGTATATCAAGGGCAGCAGAGCTCAGGAATGGATGGTTCCCCAAAATCACATGCCAAGAGGTGGGGCGATCTGAGTCAGAGGCAGCTGGCGTCCATGCGAAACATTAGCTAGACCCTCACTCTAGAAAAATGGTACAGATGAACTTATTTGCAAAGCAGAAATAGAGTCACAGATGTAGGGAATAAACTTATGGTTACCAAGGGGGGAAGGGGGGATGGGATGAAGTGGGAGATTGGGATTGACATATATACACTACTATGTATAAAATAGATTACTAATGAGAACCTACTATATAGGACAGGGAACTCTACTCAATGCTCTATGGTGACCTAAAGGGGAAGGAAATCCAAAAAAGAGGGGATATATGTATACATATAACTGATTCACTTTGCTGTACAGCAGAAACTAACACATCATTGTAAAGCAACTATACTACAATAAAAATAAGTAAGTAAATAAACAAACAACCCCCCACTCTCCCACGTCCATGGTGAACCTTGTGATCAATCAGGATACTTTCCCTCTGAGCCTCTAAGTGGCCTTAGCGTCCTTCCCAACCCAAGCAGCCCCATCAATTCATTGAACTGGCTAATTTGCCATCACAGGCCTATGCAGTTTAAGGCAGAACATGCTCCTTAGCTCTCGTTAAATATTCATCAACTTTTCCTTTTAGAAAGGATATGGGTAGAAGCATTTCTTAAAAACTATATCCCATTCTCAACATTTAATCTATTTTTCCCCCTCTTCTTTTCTTTTCCCAGGAGAAAATAATGAATGTCAAAGGAAAAGTGATTCTGTCAATGCTGGTTGTCTCAACTGTAATTGTTGTGTTTTGGGAATATATCAACAGGTAATTATGAAACATGATAAAGCGATGTTAATGAAAGTCTTCTCTAATCTCCAGGTATCAGCCAAGTCAGCAGGCTGAATTAAAATTAGGATTAACTGACACCATAAAGAAGGGATTCCATCCTTCCTGTATCCCTGAGCCCTAGACTGTCTTTAAAATCATTAGATCTCTTTTTTTCTCTTTTTAAAGATTTATTTATTTTATTTTTGGCTGCGTTGGGTCCTCGTTGCTGTGCACAGGCTTTCTCTAGTTGCGGCGAGCAGGGGCTACTCTTCATTGCGGTGCGGGGCTTCTCATTGCGGTGGCTTCTCTTGTTGAGGAGCATGGGCTCTAGGCACGCGGGCTTCAGCAGTTGTGGCACGCGAGCTTAGTTGCTATGCAGCATGTGGGATCTTCCCCGACCAGGGCTTGAACCCATGTGCCCTGCACTGGCAGGCGGATTCCTGACCACTGCGCCACCAGGGAAGCCCCAAATTATTAGATCTTCATGCACCTTCTAAGAAATTAATTATCTTCCTTCCTGCCATGTTCCTAATGTCTTGATTTTTATACCTTTGCGGTTCTGGGTAGGCTAGAGCCAGAAACAGTAAGGTCATATTAAGATGAAAATGTCATATTAAATTATTTATATGACCAGATATGGAAATTACCTTAAGAAATTTCAGACAGGAATTCCATGAGGAATCCACCCTGATTTTTGCAGTCCTAAAATATTTGCAAAGTTTAAAGGAACAACTCAAGGTTATTGACTTTGGTGCAGAATACACTCTGAATTGCTGGTGATTCATTTGTGCCTGGCAAAACTTTGGGGTATTTTGTCTTTCTTTTAAACCTGGAAAGCAAGATGAATTAAATATTTCTGAGTTTTCAAGTTCATCAGTGGATTCACCACAAATATTTGAGCTGCTTCTGTGTTTTTGGAAACTACCAATGCCTCGGAGATTCCAGCTGCAGAGGCCTCTGACAGAAAGGAGTCTCTGCAAGTGGCTACAAAAATGCACGATGGTTTTGACTTAAGAGGCATTGGTACAGCTCAGCCTTTCTTTCAAAAAGGCCACCTTAGGGCTTCCCTGGTGGCACAGTGGTTGAGAATCTGCCTGCCAGTGCAGGGACACGGGTTCGGGCCCTGGTCTGGGAATATCCCACATGCTGCGGAACAACTAAGCCCGTGAGCCACAACTACTGAGCCTGCGCGTCTGGAGCCTGTGCTCCGCGACAAGAGAGGCCGCAATCGTGAGAGGCCGGCGCACTGTGATAAAGAGTGGCCCCCGCTCGCCGCAACTAGAGAAAGCCCTCGCACAGAAACGAAGACCCAACACAGCCAAAAATAAAATACATAAATTTATAAAAAACAAAGCCAAAAAGATACACGCACCCCTATGTTCATAGCAGCACTGTGTACAATAGCCAAGACATGGAAACAACCTAAATGTCCATCGACAGATGAATGGATAGAGAAGATGTGGTGTGTATATACAATGGAAT